CTGCAGGAATAAAAAAATGCTCCAAAGCCTCAACCCAGGAAGAAAGACAATGCAATTTGCCATCAAGAAAAGCCCAATAGACCAATAAATTACCCATGTGCAAAGGGATTAGATCAGGTTTCAGTTGCACTGAAGTGGGGGAAGGAGGACGGGAGGAGGGAACTGAAGGGGAAAAACAAACCTGCCTCTCTTAAAGCGCTGGGGCTCCTATTTTGCAAGGGCGTGTGAGGAGAGGTTTGCTCCGACAGGGCCGCCCTCCATCCCCTGGGCTGGATTTTGCACTCTTCTACTGGCAAACGCAGCAGACGCATTAAGCACAGGAGAAGGGCAGGCTGGTTGGGTTACTCTACATGCACGGTGGTGCCTGTCTGAGCACTCACTTGAGTCTGTGCAGTCTCTCTCCATTAACCCAGTCCTTGGCCCGCTCGGGAGGCGGCTGCGGAAAGGCTTTCTCCAGTTTCCTTATGTCAAAAGAGGGACACAGAGGGAGCTTTCCCTTTTCAACCTGCCCTGATCACTAAAGCACCTGGAGGACCTGCCAGGGACAAGCCCCCTTTGTCCTCCTTGCTGAGAGGTGGGACGCGGCAGAAGAGTCCGGTCACTTAGTCGGCTTTTGGCCTCTGCAATCAGCTTTCCGTGGGCCCAGCGTGCTCTGCAGGGTTGCCCGTGTCTCCTTGCAACCGTCCCGGCCTAGGGAAGCGGTGCTGGGATTGCTGCTCCAGGCTCACCAGAGCTGGGCTGAGCGACGATGGCGCTCTGAGCCAGAGCCGCTGGAGCCACTGCTTGGAGAACAGCAGTTGACACTTGGGGAGTTTGGAAAGCCAGCGAGATACTCAGGGCATTTGCACCCAAAGCAGCAACAGGAATTTCTAACTGACCCCAACTTTGGTCTGAAAACCGCCAACCCCGGCGCTGCACGAGGCTGCCGCGGTCAGTGCCCGGCACAGCCTCCAGCAAGGCTGGGGTTGGCAGGCCCGGCTTTCCAGCGGAGACATCCCGCTTTCCGCAGCGCAGCCTTTTTCCCAGCCCGCCTTTGCGGAGTGTTTGAAGGCTCAACTCGCCACCCACCACAGCCCCGGGGCCCCTCCAGGTGCAGCAGCAGGTCCCGCTCCCTCCTCCTCCTCCTCCTGGCCGGGCCGAGGCAGGCAGCAGTGAAGGAAAAGTGCTTTCTGCTTACAGGTGTGTATTCCCTCTAGGAATAATCATCCCAACCGTGCGCTTGTGAAATTGCAGCCCTTCAAACACCGAGCTAAATGAGACACAAAATGAGGAGATGGAGAAACGCCCGGAGCACATAAATCTGGATGAGGCAAATTTATACAATTAAACGCCTGCCAAAAAAAGTTGCGGCATCTCCATCGCAGGCGTTGATGTGAGCGCGGGGCGGGGGGGGGGCGCCGCCCGGCGGTGGGCGGACCCCGCGCCCTCCGGCCTGGCCCTTTGGGGACCCCCCGCTGGGCTCGTGACGGACAGCGGCCCTTGCCCTGGGCGCTGAGCCCGGCACAGAGCCCTGCTCTGCACGTGCACCCCGCAGCCACCCACCCCGCTCCCCTGGCTCCAGCGGTGATACTTGTCCCTCTGTCAAAGCCACAGACTTTCACATGTTTATTTCTAAATGCATCGCATTGCTTGGGCCCCTGGGCTCAAGTTTTAGTTTTGAGAGAATTTTAGTTCTAAGCTCCGCAGCCTCATCCATCCTTGCAAGCTCAGTGCTCTCTGATCCCCGTGAGCAGCGAAGCGCAGGGGCTGCGTCTGCCCTGGGGACACCCCACCACACGTCCCTGTCACCTTGGAAAGGGCTGGCTGGAATGCGTCACACAGCCGGAAAAAAGGAAGTGGGTGAGAAAACCAAAACGCCCTTGAGCATCATTAGGGGCTTTGGGGACCAAAGTCAACAGCTGGGTGGAAAAGACAGGAAACCGAGGTAGGAGGAAACATCTGGGACTCCAGGGGAGCTTGGGGCTCTGTCTGACCCCTGGAACTCCCCATATGTGCCGGGAGAGCTTTCCTTGCCTGGAATTAAATGGCAAAGCTCCCCTCTGCTCCTCTACAGTGGAAAGACAGGACTCCACAACCCTGCTGACCATCCACCCGCCCTTGGAAGGCCCCGCTGCTCCACATGGGCAAGGGCTGCCCGTGCGCAGCACCGAGAGCCCCATGACTTCATCCCAGGGCTGGCATCTGCTCTCGCCGTTGAGCCTAATTCAATTCTGCCCCTCGCTGCAGGAATCGCAGCTGGCGGGGCCGTGATTTAGTGAGCCGGGCTGCGCTGGAGTGCAAAGCAATCTGCGGGCTGCGATCGAACGCCCGCTCCGTCTGAGAGCTCGGGGGAGGGAAATAAATATCCCGGAGATGGGAGCTCTTCTTGCAAGGCCAAACGCAGGTTGCAGAGGCTTCTGGAGGCCTGCAGAAGGGCTGCCCTCCGGAGCGCCCTCCTGGGACCCTGCCCATTAAGGAGCCGGAGGAGACACCACAGAACTCCTCGTGGCCACGAACGGAGCTGTGGAGGCAGCGGTTGGGGTGAAGCCCCGCACGGCCCCCGCGTTAGGACGGTGCTGGGGCTGCCCTGTGGGCGCTGGTACCGGTGTGGCCGGAAATCCGCATCCGTTCCAATCCAGAAACCCAGATGCTGGCATTGCAAACCCCACTGCTAGGAACCAAGGGCCTGCAACCTGGAGAAGGCAATTTCGAGGGGGAAAATGCAACACGTGCCCCCATCCACACTAAAAGCCGTGCTTCCTCGTAGCCCCTCATGGTCTCGCTGGCAGTGACCAGAACGGCCTCTTCCAAGAGCCTGGCTTCACATGGACAGCAAACCAGGGCAGCCAAAGTATTTCCAGGTTGAATCCTGCCTCCTTCCCTGTCTGAGTAACAGCTGGTGCCGCAGCCATCCCCCCTCACTGCCACCTTGCCCCATGTTCCCCCAGCACTGGAAACGCTGCGGGTTTGAGTGCTCGGAAGGTGTTTCAAGAACCTCCAAGCGCCTCTTCCCCACATTGGCTCAGTGCTGGGCTCACGTCCCTCCCTGCTGCCGAGACAGGGGCCATTCCCCACTCAATCCCATGCAGCTCCAGAGGGATGGATCCTTCCCCAGAATAAACCCCAGAGCCAGGACTGGGTGGAAAACGCCACTCTTTGGAAACAGACGCATCTGAAACAGGGCTGCAACAGCACAGGAGAGCCGGGAAAGCCGTAGCGCAGCAGCAGCCGTAGGGAGGGAGCAAGCCTGAAATCCTAGGGAATGCACCAAGGGTTCTCCATTGCTGGTTGGGTACAGAGGGATCTGCAGGACAATGGGGACAGACAGCACCTTGGCACAGCAGTGTCCAACCCACGAGCAGCAGCGGGAGCAGCCACCAGCCCCACCAGCTCCAATGGGGACTGTCCCAGTGCCCTGCTCTGCCCACGGCTGCTTCCCGCACCGCAAGCACGACGGGGCACGGCCGGCCGGGCCTCGAAGGTGTCGATGTGGCGGAAAAGCAGCGCGAGAGGGAACCAGCCCCAGGGCACGTGCATGGAGGGGACGAAGCAAATCAACCCGTCGGGGTTCAGGTCCGCGAGCCGAGCGGCCCCCACGGGGAGCCCGGGCTCCGCTGGCACCCGCTCCCTCCCGCTGCCTCCGGATCACCTCGTTTTGCCAGTTCTTTGCACCTTATTTGACTGCTGAAGGCAGAGCCAGACAAAAGCAGCCAACCAGGTCCCATATCAAGTTCTTTCTTGCACCGTAAATCTCCGTGCCTCAACGCTTCAACGCAAACGCTCCGTACGGGGAGTTAAGCAACACGTACTGGGTCGGAGCAAGGAAAGAAAAACCCACGAGCACAAGTGGGTTTCTCTGCACACAGCCTGGCCCGGTGCTGAGCAATCCCCGCAGCACCTCAGTGTGAGCAGCACCAAAAAGGCCCGGGGGGAGGGAAGGGGCACGGCCTTATTTATTTATTTATCTATTTACTGCATGTGTGTGCAAGACAGCTTCACCTACGTTTATGCAAAAGAAATGCAGAGGCGATTAAAAAAAAATAAAGGGCAAGTTTTACAAAAGAGGTAAATCACAAGACTTCAGCGTTAGGGCTTTTCTTTTGCCCTCCTGCTTTTTCCCTCTTTTTTTTTCCCCCTCCAAATGAAAGAAAAAAAAAAAGAGGTAAAGAAACTGGAGAGTTTTGGAAGGAACAAATCCGCCTCTGTGGACTCGGTTTCCCCTCCCCCAACAAAAACAAGCACTCAGGGCTTGAAGGAATTTGCAGGCAGAGATCTGCCAAAAACATTGTGAAAAACTATGGGGGATTCATTGGAAACAGATGGCGTTTTCAGCTGTAATTCTGAAATTCTCTCCTTTTCTGACACAAGAAAAACAAACCT